CACTGAAGCTGCTTCTGACTTTTTAGAAACTCGGCAACTAATGATGATTAACATAACCAACAGAAGCATTTTACTTAGTAAAAGCAGTCTGCATCTGCAAGTGTTTTGTTTTATGTGGGAGCAGGGCGACATGAAGCAGCATTGTCGCGTAATAACGGGTTAATAAACCTGCTTTCACTCCTGCCTTGGTCAGCTGCTGTGAAACAGAACAACACACAAGGAGCCGCTTTCGGTGCCCGAAACCAGCTCAAATATTCCCAGCACAGGCAAAGTGTGGCTTCCAGTCTTTTTACAATTCAGCGCCACAACTGGGAAGCGTTCATGGAAAAATCTGAGCACAGCAGGAAGCGGAGTGAAAAACAGACAAAGCTACGCCGAAACGCCTTAAATGAACTTTTTTAACTCAGCCATTCCAACAGACACAGATGTGCACCAGGAAATAGAGCAGGCCTACACGGGAAGACAGCTCGTTCCCCCCGAGATTCACGCGTTCCTGATTAACAGAGCGCGGAAACCTGCGACAACGCCCTCCGAATAACACTTCATATATACTCAGGTGACCTCGTTCCGGCCAGATGTCTCGACTTACCCGCAAATTGCGATTCTCCCGTGGCTGAAAGTCGGCCTGTTTCCCTCAAGCTACAACAGGAACTCACTCTAGGTCACGTGCCGGCCTGTCATGGCGCGGATTGGCTGGTTGTCAAACTACAGCTCGCAAAGGCTCGAGGGAAATGTAGTTTTCGGACGGCTTGGCCTACACGCCTCATTCGGAGCAGGTGTGCCTGTTTTTTATGTTGACATGTACACACATGTTTTATACTAACGTAGATATGGTTCCTCCAGCTGAAATCATTTTCACAGTTAGTTTTAAACGTTATAAGCTAAATATTGTGCTGATGTCTAATTCTGTGCTTTGTTTTCTTGGACTCTACTAGATTAGCTCTTTTTCACATTATTGCTTATTTATTTGACCAATTTTTCCAGTATGAATCAGCCATTTCAGCTCCCATCTCCTCCCTTTAATAGAGACACAGTGGTTCTTAACGTTGAGCAATTGTCCCTGAGTTAAATAAGCTGTTAAGAAAATGGTTCAGTTCTTGTAAATTATCACAGTGTATATACAATTAATTAGATGTGTTAATTCATTTTGGCAATAGTACGCACGTGATTAGCAGTCTCCTTGTATATGCCAGTTTAGTAAAACATGTATTAATTACTCCTGTCAGAGAAGCCACACACCGGACTTGGATCCTGCGAGGTGAGTACTAGTCATGAGCAGCAACTGTCACTGCTTCAGTCGGGCTGGGCACGCCTCCAACCTGCTTCTCCAGCTTAGCCAGCCAATCCTGTATATGCAGAAAAAGAAACGGCAGGATTCCCTGTTTACTTTCAAAAACTCAAATACTCCACAGTAACTGCCACACGGGATCTTATCTTAAGCTTTTTAACCATAAATCATCCCTGAACTTTTAGCTATGACTTAAAAAGAGCTAAAAGTTCTATTGACTATAATTAAAGTTAAAGAAAAGTTACTTTTATTTACTGGGATTTAAGAAAGTGTGAGGCAAACTTGCACACTATGAGTGAATATAAATGATGGAAAACCATCTTGGTCCTGTGTTTTTGGCCCAGTTTTTGAGGTTATTGTGGTTTTGTGGTTCAGTCTTTTGGAATTCAGGTCTCAGTGTGTGTTGTTTCCTGTTTTATTTTGATAGTCTCCTCTCTCCTGTGTATCATGTTGAGTTTGATTCCTTTGTCTCACTAGTTTGGATTAGTGTCAGGAGTGTGTGGTGCGAACTTTAGAAGTATTTGGAATTGGAGTATTCGGTTTTTGATTAACTATAGCAAGTGGATTTGATCTGCATAACAGATACTGTATTTGATAAACTGTGTAGGAGGATAAGAGGAGTGGTGTGCAGGTTTCAGCCTGTACAGGCCCAGTAAGTTGAAAACTTGCAGGCTACCTCTGGGCTTCTGTATTGCCCAAGAGAAAAACCATAAAAAGCAGCCACCACTGCCAGCATCATGTTAGGCTGGTTAATCACAAACTTCTGGGTGTACTATTGGAGCCAGACCCATCCCTGCAGGTGGAGAGTGTGATGGGGGAGGGTGGAATACAGCAGTGATGGGAATAATGGCGTTACAAGTAA